CACTGCAGCTAATGACAAGGAGCTCAAGCTGTTTGTGAAGTTGGCATGGGACCTCCAGGGTGTCTTCCATCGGGCGTCTAAGGCTAGATGGATTATGCCGCACCTCTATGAGGATGAACGTGCTCGAGCCCGTGACCTCTCCCACCAGTTCTGCCGCGACGATTTTCTTGAGACAGCACAGCTTGTCATTGACAAAGTGGAGAGAGTAGTGCAGGCCACCGGCGCATTCAAAACGGCAGAATGGATGGAGTGGGCTCAGGCGCCCTTCAACAATGGAGCGCGCCAAGCGCACAGATTCTCGAAGCTCCGAGACTTGCAGGAGGTCCTGGAGCACACCCAGCAGCCACAACCCCTTGAAATGGCTGATGCTTGCATGGATACCTGGGCTGAGATTTGGGCCACCCACGCTTCCAGACGCCTGCAGTTGCCACCTGACTTCGCGACATGACACTAGCTCCCAGAAGTCAGTGTGGCAGACCTTCGCCTAGTCTTGCGCAAGTTCAAGCTCACCTCAGCACTTGGACAGGTCAACCTTCACCCCAAGGCGATGGATGTTGCATCAGACTACGGACTGCAAACTCTTCTTCATCTCCTGCAGGCGTGTGAGCGGCTATGTTGCTGGCCAGAAAAAAAAAGATTACAGACGCGCCTTGTCAGATTACCCAAAGCCTCAGGAGGGCACCGACTGGTGGCTTTAATCAACACGATTGTGCGTATTTGGGCCCGACTTCGCAGACCTGTGTCACGAAGCTGGGGGCGTGCCAATCAGAACTCTGACTTCTGGGGCGCGAGGCCGGCTGCCTCATCATCGGATTCAGCTTTCTCTTATAACCTGCAAGCAGAAGTTGCACGATACAAAGGGCACACGTCAGTAACGGTGCTGATCGACGTGTACAAGTGCTTCGAGATGATTAAGTTGCAGAAGTTAGTCGACTTTGCTTACATGCTGGGCTACGCACGACGACTCTTTTGGCTAATACTAGCCAACTACCAGTGTCCTCGAGTTGTACGCGCGTGGGGGTCTCTATCTGATGAATATGTGTCGTTTCAAGGCATTCTAGCTGGATGCACTCACGCGACCACGATGGTACACTTGTTACTGCATCAGCTTCTTCTTCGGATGAGGGACCTCTTTGACTCAGTTGTGCCACGCATGCTCGTGGACGACACGGGCTTTCAATGGACAGGCGAAGATCCCAGACAGTCTAGGGCTTTGTTCTCGGGCGTCAAGTACTTTACAGAAGGTGCCTTTGAACTGGGATTGGCATTCAAGCTGCTAAGAGTGGATGTGTTGCCACAAATGCGGCTGCCAAGAAAGTGATCACACCCCTTGTCAAGCGTCTCAGGATGAAAATGTGTTCTCACATGAGGAACCTTGGACATGATCTGTCTGGGCCCAAGGCCAAGCGAGTGATCGAGAAGAAACGACTTGCTGGGCTGGTGGCTAGAAAGCCCAAGCTTCGCGCCTTTGTGCGAGGAGCGAACCGCAAAGTCCGAACTTTGCGGAGAACAGGATTGCTTCCAGCCGCTGCGCATGGAGCAGGAGTGAGTGGCATCACCGACGCTACCCTCAATTCACTCAGATCTATTGCGGCCGTGCTTGCTGGAGCGCGCCAACGCGTCTCTATCACAGCTTGGCTGGCCACTCAGGCGGATGAGTTCTACGACCCGATATATGACGCGACCATCTTGCTCGTCGTCAGGTTTGCCAGCACGATATGGGACAATAGATTCTCAGTTGCCAACCTCCAGCGGGCATTTTTAGTTATGAAGCGTGATCTTGAAAGTCAACTCACATGGGCCAAGTGCCACGGGCCGATGAGCGCGACTTTTTTTCGTTGTCTAGAATTGGCTGGGCTATGTTATCCGCACGCCAAGTTGTCGATGATAGAGGCTCCACGATTTCTTTCCTGCACGCGCCGCCCATGGAGGTCAAGCGATTGCTGCAGGAGTCCATTGGCAGACGGCAGATGAAACGGATATTGGCGCACATTCCTGAAGCATTTGGGTCCGAAGAAGAGTGGCGTCGGGGCCTTCATCTTGCAATATTCCGCATCAAGGACGACGTCAGGAGAGGCTGCGCTCGTTTACTCTTGGGCTCAGGATGCTGGCCACCCTCGAGAGAATGTGCAGCAGGATATCGATCGACCTCCGCCTGTGATTTCTGCCCGAACCCCAACGCTACCCTAGGACACCAGCTGTATCAGTGCCCAGTTTTAACTCAGCCCCCAGAGGATCTTGAAGTAGAGCCCCTTCCCGAGGACATTTTAGAGCACAGAGAGGCTTTAAGGGACCCGGGGTACTCTGGATTACAGGCCGACTGGGACATTTTGGAGCTTGCGTATGGGTATTCTTTTTATTCCCTCAGTGTTCCAGAGATCCCCGAGGCCCCCACGGTTCATTGCGGTGCAACTACGGGGCCCTGGGGCATGCGCATCTATACCGACGGTTCAGGGCTTGCGAATTCAAGCCCAGAACTTAGACGGTGTGTATGGGCTGCCGTCGAGGTTGATCAGTGGGGCGTGCCCCACAGGGCCCTTTACGGGCCTTTGCCTGGGCGCCAGACGGTGCCCCGCGCTGAGAGGTACGCGGCGCTCCGTGCGTTAGAATTTGCACCCCAAGGGGCCGAAATGGTCACATATCACCTCCAGGTCGTTCGTGAAGGGTGCTCGTGGGATCCTGATCTGGCGGCTGCCCGAAATGTGCATGCTGATATGTGGCGCAAGATGTTCGAGCTTCACGGCGGTGGCCTTGAGAGGCCACGTTTCCGCTGGGTCCCAGCGCATCGAGGGCCAGAAGATACATTTTCGTGCACGAGCTCAGACATCCAAGACTACCTTGTAAATGTATGGGCCGATTTTTTCGCCAGGCTCGGTTCGGGCATGCACCAAATTCCAGAAGTTTGTGTCAAGGCCGAGAGGTCCCAATTAAAAAAGCATCAGCTCACCTGGGACTTTCTAGCACGTGCTACCCAGACAAGTAGCACTGCGGGAGGGCCAGGTCGAAGCCCCGCCCCCCCCCCCCCCCCCCAAGCCGGCCCCAAGTATGGTGCCGAAGCTATCGGTTTCGCAACATGAATTTTGTTTTATCGAGGCTCGTGCCGAGTGGAGATGTAGGCGCTGCAACATGGCAGCGACCACCGACCAGACACTCAAGGGTCTGAGAACGGGGGGAAGTCGTGAATGCAAGCCAGCAGCCATTCAGCAATGGCAGGCCAACATGTTTTTTTGGCAGTTTGCTGAGCAGGGCCTGGTTGTGGGCTCAGACTCGACGGCTGCCGCTGGTCCCGCTTTGGAGCTTGCCTGGGGCCTCTGCCTGGAGCCTCCTCCTCTGCGCCTCCTGGGGACCTGGGGACCTCTTCCTCTTCCTGGTCCAGGGGCCCCTCAGGATCGGCCGAAGTCGGCCTCGAAGTTTTTAGAGACCTTCAGCACCGACCAGTATGCCACGGTAGAATCATCATCTGCCAGAACTGCTTGTTGTTGGTGCTCCCTGATGGCTGTTGTCGGGGACTTCGGCTGATGTGCCGTGGTGTATCGCAAGTGCAGGCGACGCGCAATGGTCACCTCAGGAAGCTTGCTCGCGCGGAGAGTGGCCGACACCCTGGCACGGGTGTCCAGCTAGAGCTCCTACCCGAGTCTCTTGACCGCGCAAGTGCCGCCGCCCAGTGCTCTTCCGTGTCTGCTGCTGCGGCAGCCTCGAGCATCGTTGTGGGTTGTGGCGCTGGGGAGGGAGACTCGGGTTCGTCTGACTACTATCTTGTGGCCGCGAATCCTTTTCGTGGCCCCCATTTTTTCTTTTATCACCCCAGGCATCTCTGCCTTCCGTCGGCCTGTGCCGAAATGTAGCTGCCGTGTTCACTTGGTGCCTGGTTTGCAGGCGCTGACTGCTCAGCGTGGCCAGCACTGCGCCCACGGGAGGTGCTCGCCACGGGCGCGGCGCGGCGCCCACTCGGCCGCCCTATACTAGCAGGAGGGTTGGCATCTCTGCCCACCCTGCCGCGATCTCCATCCACGGCCGCAGCTATCGATCCGACTGCTGCTGCGCCACTCGCTCGCTCGCCTCCTCCTCCTCCTCCTTCTCCTCCTCCTGTCCTCGTCCCCTCCTCCTCCTCATCATGTCCTCGTCCTCGTCCTCCTCCCCCTTCTTTTCCTCCTCCTCCTCCTCCTCCTCCTCGTTCTGCATCCATTTTCGTGATAAGAAACTCCCCCCTGTCGCATCCCAATACGTGTCGGTAGGGCGGTCCGGGCGTTTCGCCTGGGACTTCTTGATCACTGATGATCCTCCATCTTGGGATTGGCAACATATTCACCTCATCCTCCTCTTCCTCCTTCCTCCTCCTCCTCCTCCTCCTCCTCCTCCTCCTCCTCCCCTCCTCCTCCTCCCCCCTCCTCCTCCTCCTCCTCCTCCTCCTCCTCCTTCTCCTCCTCCTCCAGGTGGGAGCGCATCGGCCCTTGCGTCGTCGGTGCAGGCTGCTCCAGGCCCCCCCTGGAGAGGAGGCCAGGAAGGAGCATTCGAGTAGGGGATCGACTGCAGAATTGTCGATTTGCATCAAAACCTACTCCCTCGTCGAATCTACAGCAAACAATATAGTTTTCATGGGTTCGACGAAAGAACAATTTTTTGGGGGATCCTTCTCCTCCTCCTCCTCCTCCTCCTCCTCCCTCCTCCTCCTGCTCCTCCTCCCTCCTCCTTCTCCGCTCCTTCTCCTCTTCCCTCCTTCTCCTCCTCCTCCTCCTCTTCTCCTCCTCCTCCTTCCCTCTCCCCTCCTCGGGGGATCCCCCACTCGAAGGATGGAGGGGGACGAGCGGGCGGCAGGGCGGAGCAGCAGGGAGGTTGTTGGTCGGTCGGATGTCTCCGCGGAGGGCTCGTCTTGCAAGCTGCTGCCGGGGGAGTGCGACAAGAAGTCCTCTTTTTCCTCCTCCTCCTCCTCCTCACTCCTCCTCCTCCTCCTCCTCCTCCTGCCTCCTCCTCCCTCCTCCTCCTCCTCCTCCTCCTCCCCCTCCCACCTCCCCCTCCCCCTCCCCCGCCCCCTCCTCCTCCTCGTCCTCGTCCTCCTCCTCCTCCTCCCCTCCTCCTTGTCCTCCTCCTCCTTCCTCCTCCTCTCCTCCTCCTCCTCCTCCTCCTCCTCCTCCTCCTCCTCCCCCTCCTCCTCCTCCTCCTCCTCCCCCCGCCGCGCCGACATTTGCGCGTAAGCTTCCCGCGCAACGCAAGGTCGCGCGTAAGCGCCCTTGCTCTCAGTGTAGCGTGCCTCGCTGGCGGCCTCGCTCAGACCCGTCGCTCGAATCTTACGTCACAGTCCATGCGGGGAGGAATGAGGGAGGAGGGAGGGCAGCGAGGGCAGGAAGACGTTGGGGGTAGGAGGGGGGGAAGCAGGGATGAGGAGAAATGAGGAAGGAGCGGGAGGAGGTGAGGAGAAGGAGGAGGAGGAGGACCAGTGTAGACCCTTCAAGCATCCACGGTGTTGCAATAATCCCTCCCTCCAAGTTCCCTCTTCCATAGGGCCTTACAATAATTTATTGAATCGCTTCGCTCATTCCGCCGGCCCGTGATATGGCATCGCTGGTTTTTGTCTGTGTGTTCGTTGCCCATGTTGCGCTCTTGGGGGCGGGTGTCGTTCGGACGCGTTGCGTGGGGAGTTTTGATGGTGGGGTCGTCTCTCGATGGGGCGAAATAGAGTCGTCGTCAAGATGCTTCTTTGGGGGGCCTCTTGGGGTCTGTTGAGAGGCCGTTCGGGGGCGCCTGGGAGACATGTTTGAAGCCTTCTGGGGCTTCTTTTGGGCCTCCTGGGAGTCTCCTGGGGCCTCTTGGCGACATCTTGGGGCCTCTTGGAGGCCTCTTGGGGCCTCTTTGGGACCTCCTGGGCGCCTTCTGGGACGGAGGGCTCCATTTTTGAGTTCTCGGTATCCCTCCTGAGTCCCTCTTGGGCCCGTCTTGGGGCCTCTTGGTCCGTCTTGGGCGGCACTTGGGCCGTCTTGAGGGCTCTCTTGGGTCGTTTCGGCGCCGTCTTGGGAGCTTCGTGGGCCGTCTTGGAGCGGTCTTGGGGGCCTCTTGGGCCGTCTTGGAGCGTCCGGAAGCCGAAAAAGCCAGAACACAAAAAACATCGAAAAAACCAATGAAAATCAACGATTTTGGCCTCTTGGGGCTCTCTTCGGAGGCCTCTTGGAAGGCTCTTGGGGCGTCTTGGAGGCCTCTTGGGCTGTCTTGGGGGCCTTTTGGGCCGTCTTGGGGTCATCTTCGGCGTCTTCGAGCGCTCTTTGGGCGTCTCGGGGGCCTCTTGGGCAGTCTTGGGGGCCTCTTGGGGCACTCTGAGCGCGCTCTGGGGAGCCTGAGAGGCCGCACCCAGAAGGAAAACCATCTCTGAGTAGACTTGGTCGGGCGGCGGTCGGGCGGCGGTCGGGCGTTTGGTCGGGGTACTTTTCGCCGGGGGACCCCCAGGGGCCGCCCCGCGCGCGCGAACTAGAAATACTGTTAATACTGTTAACCAGTTACCGGAGATCTTAGCACGCCCTGGCCCGTTGGGCCGGCGAATTTGCAAATGCCCCATTCGAAGACAAGCGTCTGGAAATCCTCAATCGTGCCAAAACGCAGTTCCTGAGACTTCAGCTCTGTAGATCACCATTCCCTGGATTTCAACGCCGCAAGTCAACGTGACTGTCGCGTCCTGACAGTTCTAGATCGCACCAGAGCACCATTCCTGGGACTTCAACCATGCGGATCCTTGAAACTGCTGCAGACTTTCAAAACAAATCTTTGCGGCGCTAAGGCCAGAGCCACATTTTGAACAGGACACGCCAAACGTCAAGTTGCTGCAAACTGTTAGAGCAAACGCGCCCAGCACTGAAGCGATAGCTACTTTTTGACAACCGCCCGCCCTCCATCCGTGAAGCGGTTGCAAACTTTTAGGATGAATGGTCGCGGCGCTGAAGCGACACCATATTTTGAAAACCACCCGCCCTCCATCGGTGAATACGTTGCCAATTTCAACTTTGAGGATCATCAGTGATCAGGAAGTCCCAGGTGCAACGTCTGGACCGCCCTACCGACACGTCTTGGGATGTGACAGGGAGGAGTTTCTTATCACGAAAATGGATGGAGAACGAGGAGGAGGAGGAGGAGGAGGAGGAGGAGGAGGAGAGGGGGAGGAGGACGAGGACGAGGACGAGGACGAGGACAGGATAGGAGGAGAAGGAGGAGAATGAGGAAGAGGAGAGGAGGTGTACGAGAAAAAGGGGGAGGAGGACGAGGAGGGAGGAGGAGGAGGAGGAGGAGGAGGAGAAGGAGGAGGAGGAGGAGTACGAGGAGGAGGAGGGAGAGGACGAGAAGAAGGACGAGGAGGAGGAGGAGGAGGAGGAGGAGGAGGAGGAGGAGTATGCGAAGGAGGAGTACGAGAAGGAGGAGGATGAGGAGGTGGAGGAGGAGGAGGAGCTGGGAGAAGAGGCTGGTTGAGCGAAGCGGCGAGGGCCACCAGTGCACATAAGGGTCGCGTCCCACCGAGGAGTCCTGGGAGCCGCGCGGCTGGGACCCTGGCGAGGCTGGGGCAAGCTTGGACCTGGCCGCACCGGGCGGGGGCGCCGTGGCGCCGAGCACCGAAGCTCGCGACGTGGGACACGCCGAGGTTCGCCCGTCGTCGCCCGCATGTTTGAGTGCCCATCCAGGAAGAGAAAGGGTATTCATATACTGCCACCCTTCGCCTGTTTTCACCTTTTTGGGTCTCCTCGGAGGCCCTCGTCGCCGCCGTTGGATCAGTCTCGAAGTTCTGGTCAGAACGCACCCCAGGAGAAGTCTGGGGAGTAGCGGTATCGGTACCTGTTTGGTTTCCCCATGCTTGCTCCTCTCTGAGAATCAGCCTGCATGCCTGAATGCTCATGATGTCTTCCTTGTTTCTTTGTTTCGCCATCCCAGACTCAACTCCGCTGCATGGCGCTGCTGCGCTCTGACGTATCAGCTGCCCATCGCGCCGCTCAGCCACCTTGTAAGGGCATTTGGCAGCCTCAGGAATACAGCCAAGACGCTGAACTAAACGTTGCTCGGTTTCGGAAGGAGCTCGCTGTTCCCTGGCTCCTTCCATGCTTGTTCCCTAGCGCCCATCGTGCGCCCAGGCGCTTTTGTCGCCAACAAAGGGCAGTTCCTAACTTGTGTTCCTTATGGTCGCAGTCTGACTGGAATCATGTAGTATGGCGGGCCGCTTGAAACCGGGACAACGCAGGCGGAATAAAACATGCAGCGCGGAAGGATGCGGCCTCAGGCCAGGGGTCCCTTCTGCGCGAACTGCGCCACGGAGGGACCAGGATGAGGGGGGGCTGAGGGGCGGCTAGTCTTTTTATCTCTCCCCCCCGGTTCACCTCATCATTCTCCTCCCTCCCAACCCCAATGTTCCGGAGAGGGAAGGGATCCACCACCATCGGGCGGGTGGTAATGGGGGGTGACGTGAATGGGGGGTGAAGACAAGGGCCCTCAAGGTGTCCCTCTAGGGCCCGTCTCTTTACCCCCCATTGAGGTCACCCCCCAGTACCACCCGCCCGACACCACCACCAATCATCTTCAGCTCCAACTTGGAGCCCAGATACTCGTCGATGCATCGTCTCGCGGCGGGGCCAGAAGGCCGTGCTCTCCAGGACTTCGGGCCCCAAATGGGCCATTGGAGCCTTGGCGGGAGTTGCTAGCGGATGCTTTCTCTATCCCTTCCCTCAGGCTTTGCACAGCATCCCTCTTCACCATCCTCTCCTCACCCTCGTCCCTCCTCTTCCTCCTTCTCCTCCTTCTCCTCCTCCTCCTCCTCCTCCTTCTCCTCCTCCTCCTCCTCCTCCTCCTCTCTTGCTGCTGCTGTGGGCTTCGGCGCTTCCACGAGACGCAGCCTGCGTTTTTCTGCTGCTGCTGCTCCTCCTCTTCCTCCTCCTCGTCCTCCTCCCCCTCCTCCTGTCGGTCGGTCCCCATGGACAAAGAAGGGCGAAACCCAAGCGTAAGAGAGTGGCGAGGAACAATGTGGGGCAGTGCGCATGCAAGAGAGTTACACTTTGAGCTCAGCGTCCTCCGCCAGCCCCTCAGGGCATTCAGCGTGGGACTTGCTTCCCGAGCCAGTGTTTAAACGATGGGAGAGCACTGCAGTGGACAGAAACTGGTCGATCCACGCACAGTCATGTTGTTTAGAGCCCATAGGCAAGAAGGAAGAGATGAGATCACGAGCAATGCACGCCCAGCTGTCATGGGGGAGAATAGGATGGGTGCCACACTCCCCCCCTCCCCTTGCTCTGGGATTAGTCAGCTTCCCGCTGCATCCTCTGTTCGAACACGGTCTGTTCGAACACGGGTGGGTGGGTCCTCAGGGTCTTGAGCTTGCATTGTCCTACATGAGGGGTGCATGGGGTTACCAAATAAATTGACGGGTCTCTGCTGGGTGAGGGGCATAAGGCTCCATCCCAAGACGCGGCCAGAAACGGAACGGGGGGTGGGACGAAACCGGCAGGAAGTCGTGCCTCTTGTCCAGGCCTGGCGCATCAGATCAGCAACATTCAGGAAGGCCACATTGCCCCTTCTGGGCCCAGGGCCAGAGTTTCTTTCTCTTCTTCTCCTCCTTCCTCCTCCTCCTCCTTTTCCTCCTCCTCCTCCTCCTCCTCCTCCTCCTCCTCCTCCTCCTCCCTCCTCGCTCCTCCCTCCTCCTCCTCCTCCTTCTCCTCCTCCTCCTCGTCCTCCTTCTCCTCCTCCTCCTCTTCCTCCCTCCTCCTCCTCCCTCCTTCCTCCTTCCTCCCGCCCTCTCCCCCAGGCTCTTCGCATCCCTCCCCTCTTGGCGGCCTCCGCGCCCCCTCGCTGGCCACGAGGCGGGCGGCTCCAGCGACGGGGAGGCGGCCGACGCCGAGGACCTCCTGTCGCTGCGGGACGTGTTCCGGGCCTGCGACGCCAACGGCGACGGCAGCCAGGGCCCGGGAAGACTGTCCGACCAGGAGGATGATGAGGATGATGATGACGATGATGATGATGCTGATGATGATGATGATGATGATGATGATGATGATGATGATGATGATGATGATGATGAGGACGAGGATGAGGATGAGGATGAGGATGAGGATGATGATGAGGATGAGGATGAGGATGAGGATGAGGATGAGGAGGAGGAGGATGAGGATGAGGATGAAGATGAGGAGGAGGAGGAGGAGGAGGAGGAGGAGGAGGAGGAGGAGGAGGAGGGAGGGGAGAATGAGGGAGAGGACGAGAAGTGATAAGATAGGGGGGATGTACATTCGCAGTGCCGCGTTGGTGCGGTCGAAGCGACTCGGCTTGAAGGCACCTTCGAGTCGTGTCGCTCAAGCCTGCGGAGGGCTCGGAGGTCCCCGCGGGGGACGCGGGGAACCCGCTGCGTCTGGGCTGCTCCAGCCCGTCGAAGGTCTCCGCGATGTGGCTCGGTGGTGCTCCTCTCTCTCCACTGCGCCTCCAGTCGTCTCCTCTCCTCCCTGTGGGAGGGGGGGGGGCGGGGCAATCGCTCGGCTTCGTGCCACTGCCAGCCTTAAGTCAGGCGTGTCCCTCTACGGGAGGAATATTCCAAACTTGGCACATATGGTATGGGGACGATTGGCCTATCATGTGTTGGCCGAGTTTGACTGTTGTTGGACTGTGTCTTATTTGTCCTCCCAAATCCGCCTGTAGGAGGACATGCCATGCCCGACCGAATGCCAGCCTCAGGCACCATCAACCTGAGGGAGCTCATCAAGGCCTGCCGCCAGCGCCCTGAGGTCGCGGCCTTCTTCGGCCTGCCGTCGGAGATCCACCAGGAGGGCGCCTCCCGGAAGGCGGTCATGGAGTTCTTCCAGGGCGCCGATCGCAATGACGACCGCGAGATCACGTGGGAGGACCCGAAGATTCGAAACGATCAGGGCTGCCGTGCTCTCGGCGATCTTGGAACCACGCTGCACCTCGATTCCTTGTTGGGGGGCGGCCCTCCGACACGTCTGGTCCAGTGCAAGCTGACGGTGGTTTCGCGTCGCCATTGTCCGCTCCGTGCTGGCCCCTTGCTCCGTGCTGGCTTCTCCTTCTCCTGCTCCTCCTCCTCTTCCTCCGCCTCCTCCTCCTCCTTCTCCGCCTCCTCGCGCAGGTCCATCTGCAGGAATCCATGCTCCCAGCTTACAAGTTGCTACATACACCTAGGAGCGGTTCGTGGGATGACATCGCGGAGCAGACAACGTGATTGGTAACCCCAACGCGTGGACATCTCATCCAGGAGGATCTGCGCAAGGATGAGGTGGAGGAGGAGGAGGAGGAGGAGTCATCCAAGGGAGAAGGCGGAGTGGGGAGGAGACGGTGTCTCCCTCCTCCCCCTCGCGTGCGAGACGGTGGTTTCTCATCGGGGAGGAGACGGCGGACGGGCGGAGGGGGAGGGTGGTATCCGATTGCGCCGTCCCGCTTGTCCTGTTGTTTCTTCTTTGCGCTGTCCTAACTTCTCCACCTCGAGCCCAAGGCGGTGTTCTCCTGTTCCTCCTCATCATCAGGCAAGGAGAAGGAGCACGTACGATGAAGCGGACGAGCACGATGAGAAGGATGATATTGAGGGGGCGATAGGGGGGGGGCCGGGGATGATGAGGAGGAGTAGGAGGAGGGGGGGGCGGATGATGAGAAGGGGGGAGAGGAGGATGGAGGAGAGAGGAGAGAGAGGGGAGAGGAGGGAATGTTCACGCTTCGTGTACCCCCACCCGCCCATGAAAGGGGGTGGGAAACGGGAGGAAACGATTCATATAGTGAAACGAGGCGGGCAAGGCGGTGGTCTAAGAGGGCCTCTGCGGGGCATTCCTGGGGCCCGCGTCGGGGCGAGGGAAGGAGGAGGAGGACGACGACGACTTCAGGACGAGGACGAGGACGAGGACGAGGAGGAGGAGGAACAGGACAAATGAATCAATACCAGCAAAATCGACAATGAGGATGATGATGGTGGTGATGATGATGCTGATGCTGATGCTGATGCTGATGATGATGATGATGATGATGATGATGATGATGCCGATGATGATGATGATGATGATGATGATGATGATGATGATGCTGATGCTGATGCTGATTATGATGCTGATGCTGATGCTGATGATGATGATGATGCCGATGATGATGATGATGATGATGATGATGATGATGATGATGATGATGCTGATGCTGATGCTGATGCTGATGCTGATGATGATGATGATGATGATGATGATGATGATTATGATGATGATGATGATGATGATGATGATGATGATGATGATGATGATGATGATGATGATGATGATGATGATGATGGTGGTGGTGGTGGTGGTGGTGGTGGTGGTGGTGGTGGTGGTGGTGAGGAGGAGGAGGAGGAGGATGAGGAGGAGGAGGAGAAGGAGGCGGAGGAGGACAACGAGGACGAGGTCGCCTTCAAAATCGCCTCTTTGAGCCCTCTTTGGACTCTGGTTGGGGGATCTTGGGATCCTCTTTGAGCTATTTTGAAGGGTCTTGGGGCTCGCTTGGGGGCCTGTTGGGGCCCTCTTGGGGGTCCCTTGGAAGCCCTGGATGGCCTGTTAGGGCCATCTTGGAGGCCATTCGATCAAAAGGGGGGAGTCCTCGATTTGCCTTGCCCCCCCTCCCCCAGGTCCATCGAAATCGCCTCTTGGGGGGGTCCGGCTGCCTTCTTCCGGTTGTCGCCCCCCTGTGTGTAACTGCCTTGTCCGCCTGGCTTGAGCGACCCGCCTGCGGAAACCGTGAAAGTCGCCAGTTTTGACTTAAGACCGTTGCAATAACATGTTGTTTTCTGGGTTGGCCTGATTGGCCCGCCGGTGGAAACCGTGACAGGCGCAGTTTGGCCGAAAGATCATTCAAACGCTCGGCGTAGACACTGTAGGGTAATCCGAAAGTGCCGCCGCAGCTGTGCTTTCGAGTTCGGCATCATCTCTCCCCACGCCCTGCTGGGTGACCTCCTCCCTTGCTCCGTCGGGTGAAGACATCGCCGCTCTGGGCCCTGCTGGGGCGCTCTGGGGCCGCTCGTGGGCGCTCTCGGGGCCATCTTGAGGCCTCGGAAGCGCATCGGTAGCGAAAAGGTGAGACGTCATAAATCATTTGTTGCCCTCGTGCTTTTGCAGGAGTTTGGCCTCTTCGGTGGTCAATGGGGGCGCTCCGAGAGCATTTGGGACCGTCTCGTGGCCCGCGTCTGGCCTCTTGGAGGTATGTCGGACGCTAGATTGGACTATCGCCGGCTACAGGTGGGGCGCGCATCATTTCGTCAGGGTATACTGGGTTTCTTCGCTCCTCGCGCTGCGCGGTGACTTCCCGCAGCCGTTGAAGGAGCTGCTACGTTCAGGGTGCTCCGGGTTTCCCCTCAGGTGCACTTCGCGCACGGGTTCTCAGGGTTGGGTTTCTTGCGAGGGTTTCTTGCGGCCGCGCTCGCACTGTATCTTCAGCCATCTTGGAAGCCATCTTGTATCATCGGACGCCCTTTTCGAGCCATCTTGGGCGCCATAACACTTGGCGGCCCGCGCCACAAATCCAGGGAGAGGAGGGGGAAGGCACGCCTCCCCGAAGGGAAGAGGGTTCTTGGACAAGGAAATAATGAACTCGCTAAACCACCCTGGCCCAAAAGGGCTGGTGGGATCAGGAGCCGGAGGCGGAGGAGGCGGGAGGAGGAAGAGGCGGGATGATGATGATGATGATGATGATGATGATGATGATGATGATGATGATGATGATGATGATGATGATGATGATGATGATGATGATGCTGATGCTGATGCTGATGCTGATGCTGATGCTGATGTGATGATGATGATGATGATGATGATGATGATGATGATGATGATGATGATGATGATGAGGAGGAGGGAGGAGGAGAGGAGGGGAGAGGAGGAGGAGGAGGAGTAGGAGTAGGAGCTGGGAGGCTGAGGAGGAGGAGAGGAGGAGGAGGAGGTGAGGAGGAGGAGGAGGAGGAGGAGGAGGAGGCGGGAGGCGAGAGGAGGAGGAGGAGGAGGAGAGGAGGAGGAGGAGGAGGCGGAGGAGGAGGAAGAGGAGGAGGAGGAGGAGGAGGCGGAGGAGGAGGACGAGGAGGAGGAGGAGGAGGCGGCGGCGGCGGCGGCGGCGGGAGGCGGGAGGAGGTGGGGAGGAGGCGGGAGGGGAGACGGATGAGGTGGGGCGGAGGCGGCCCCGTGGGTGCGTTCCAGCTGCTCCTGGTGGCGCAGCCGTCTCCCCGCGAGCGCTGCCTCCTCCAACCACGCAGGAGGCGCCTCTTCCCTCGTGTTCCCTCGCCCCTAGCGACGCTAGTCGGCCCGCGGCGAGGCGACGGAAGCGAGCATTCGGCGGCGAGCCCAGCGGGGGTGGGGAAGGCCGACCTTCGAAGAACGAGCAACTGCATAACCATTATTCTTGGGAGGTCCCCGCAAACATCTTGGATCGGTGTTGGGCCCCTCTGGCGGCGCCTCCAGCGCCGCCCCTGGCGCGCCGATGCAAGAACTCCGCGCGGACCTCCGAAAGCACACGGGAGAAGTGAGGGGGGCAGGCCTTCTCAGGGGGCGGCGGGCTTCTCAGAAGCCCTCGCGCCGGCTGTGACGCTCTGCAGGTTGTCTCCGAAGCCGCGGGCGGCTCCTTCGAAGGCGCGAGGGCCTCCGAGAAGCCCCGCCGCCCGCCGAGAGGGCCTGCCCCCCTCGCGCTTGCCCCGCTGGGCTCGCCGCCGCACGCCGCAGCTGACGCAATCCCCGAGAGCAGGGGCGGGTGCAACAGATCGTGCCCAGCTGCTCCCCACAGCCAGAGCCAGAGCCGGGCCAGCCGAGGCTCGGGTCCCAGGCGGGGGCGCCCTGAGGTCGCTGACCGAGGCCACGGAGGCACCCAGGGAGGGCCCCGATGGACAGCCCAGCCCGGCTTCCAGCTTCGGCCCCCTGTGCTGCCGGACGTCCCTCCTCTCTGAGCCTTGCTCCGCGGTGGCTCCTCTCCTCCTCTCCTCCTTCTCCGTCCTTCGTCCTCCTTCTCCTGCACGCTCGCCCTCTCCCTCCCTACCATTCTCCCCGTCCCTGTCCTCGTCGCCCCTCCGCCCGTCTTCTCTCCTCCTCATCCCCCCCACCCCTGCGCCTAGTGCCGCCGAATGCTCCAGCGGCAGGGTTCGCATGCGTGTTCGGGCCCATGTCGGCACACCCCTCACACGTTTCGGGGCCCCAGTCGGAGCTACGCCGAAGGCTCCAGTGACAAGGTTCGCATGCGCACGCGGGCCCATTCCGGCACGCGCACACACACCGCGTTCCGTGGCCCCATAGTGAGCTCCACCGAGGGCTCCACACGTTTCGTGGCCTCACAGGGAGCTCCACCGAAGGCTCCAGTGGCAGGGTTCGCATGCGTACTCTTGTCCCGCACACCTCTCACCTTTCGGGGCCCCATAGGGAGCTCTGCCGAAGGCTCCAATGGCAGGGTTCGCATGCGTACTCTTGTCCCGCACACCTCTCACCTCTCGGGGCCCCATAGGGAGCTCCGCCGAAGGCTCCAATGGCAGGGTTCGCATGTGTCCGCAGGTCCAAGTCGGCACTCCCCTCACACGTTTCATGGCCCCATAGGGAGCTCCACCGAAGGTTCCAGTGGCAGGGTTCGCATGCGTACTCGGGCCCACTTCGTCGCGCCGCTCAGACGTTCCTGCGTCCGACTTGAGTCGTGAGAGAGCGTGCGTGAATCGGGGCAGCGTTGAAAGTAAGTTCCCTTTGCTTGGCGAAGTGTTTTTGGGCAATTGTTGCAGATCCCTCAGTTTTTCCATGTGCATGAAGCGTTCCTGCTATTATCCACCACGCGTTTACAATTGGTTGGGTTCTTCGCCAGGGTAATTTGAGACGCGGGCGAGGGAAGAGGGATGGCGGGACCTCCTCCCATTTCTCATCCTCCTCCTCCTCTCCCTCCACCCCCCCGCGTCCTTGCCCCCTCGCCCCTGCCTCCTCCTTCGCCACCCCTCTCAGTCCGCCTCCAGTGGCACCGCCAGCGAGCCCCCCCACCCCAGAGGAGCTCCGCCAGTTCTACCGCGAGCGCCGGCCAGTCGGCGTGAGCCCCCAGCGGTCCAGCACCTCCGGCGGCGGCGGCGGCCGCAGGGACGCCGAGGGCAGCCCGCCGCACGCCCAGCCGCGCCCGCCGCCGCAGGTGGGGCGGTCGTGGTGGTGTTGGTGGTCGACGTCGGGAACTTCGGGGCCACCCAGATTCGGAGACTCGCAGGGGGCCTCGATGCGGGGGTCAGTGCAAACGAGGGTCAGTCAGAGCGCCATCCTGCAGGATTCTGCAGAGCCAGGGTCTCACTGATCCGGGCTCGGTTGCAGGATCCTGCGGGATCTTGCAGGATCCTGCAAGGCTTGACTTTCCCGGGCTCGGATTGACCCGGGTCAGTAGGTCTGCGAGACTCGCAGGGGGGATGTCTCCCTGAGGTGGGGTTGTAGGAGCGAGTCTAGCTGGGTGCCAGCACTTGCTTCTTCAAGGGGCAGTTTAGGCTGAGTTCCCTCGAAACCCGAGCGCGGCCAGTGCCGCCAACGTGTCAGACACTTCATGCATGGAGTCTTCTGGGTGGGATCTAACATGACGGAAACCAGCCTCCCTGCCGCGCTGCAAGCAGCATGCGGGCGACCGTAAGCATTTGGCAATCCCCGATGCTTCGGGCATGCCGCCCTCGCCTGGCGCAGCAGGGAGGACAGCGAGACTGTCCACGCGAAGCCTCAACGACGCGAGCTGAGGCTGGATGGCCCAGCATGCGGCCCCAAGCACGGCTGCCGCCTCAGCGACCAGACATGCATGAGGCATGAGCCTTGGGACGCGCTAAGGTTTCAAGGTCAAGAGCACCCGCACAGTTCCCAGCGTAGTGCCAGGCGCCATGGCGGTGCAACAGTATCGCTGCGGAAGCCGAGGCCATCTCCCCCCTGCCTCATCTGCGTCAACAGACGCACGCAAGGTACGTGGCTCACACGTGGGGGTGTGGAAGTAGAGAGCGAAGAAATTCAACCGAGCAAAGGAGCAAGAACCGCTCGAGGTCCTGCCATGAGGACGGAGGTGCCCATCACCATGTTGCTTTCATGCCTTGTAGCAGACCTGAGCACCAAACACAGCTGGACCTTATTCAATAAGGTCCTGAGGGCCAGAGTGCCACAATGACATTGTGGCATTCTGGCCCTCAGGATCCAGATCAATTAGGTCAATCGGGATCGGGGCGGGCATCGAGGCTACCCTTCCTGGCCCTCGTCTTCTGGAACTGACCTCAGTCGCCAGCCGAGATCTGGGCATGCTGGTGTTGCGGCTGCTGCCCATCTCCCTCTAGACATGGGTGCCCTTGGCGAGCGAGAATTGTCTGCTCTGGCTGGCACGTCGCCTGAATGCGCTGAACATCCCCTGCATGACTCCGCCTGCATGCCTCCAGGTTTCCTAGAGCCAGGAGCAGCAGCAGCAGCTAGCTGTCCAGTGGGGAAAATGGGCTGCAGGAGGTGGGGTGGCGGCCTGTCGGTAGCGTCCTCACTGGTGCAAGTAAAACCTCATGCCGAGCGCTCAGAGCATTGAACTGTGTGCTCAAGGACGTGACGGTGTAATCCATTTGTTTGGTAAGATGTGGGCGAGCTCGAAAGCGATCCAATCTGTGTCTGGATAGCTGCCACGTGTGCTACCTGATGAGGCTTGACTGCTGGGGCTGGTGGTGCAACAGCTGCATGAACGACTGGGGCTGAAGCACGTCCTGTGGCATGTGACCAGGCACGAGAGTCATGGGCCATGAGCGTCTCTTCTCCATCCATCAACTCGTCTTCGTCGGCGGGCGCTCGCTGGGGCTCTGGACGCGGAGACTGGGGTGATGCCTCTATCTCCGTCAGGGCCTGCTGATTACGGTAGCCCCATTATTCTGTCTGATCCACCTGGCCTCGAAGGTGATCGAGCTCGGCTTCTTTGGTTCGAATAGCTTCGTTCTGAGATGATGGTCGTATCTGAGCTCGCTGCAGTGTCGCTCGCTTTCTTTCTCTCTGCTAATCCCAAGGCCGGCACAGGTGGATTGCCGTGAGGAGCACAGCATACCACACTCGTGCTCGTCCTCAGTCAGGTCTCTTACGGATTCCTTCATCCAAATCTCTTGCCTGCAACGCGCAATGTATTGTTTCCTGTTCGAATGCGTGTCGTCTTCGGGCAAAGTACTTGGGAACCTCGGATATGAAGTAACATGTACTGGCAGCGCCGGAAGAATAGCCAAGGGTTCGAGGTTCTGGGCCTGAGAATTGGACTGTTCTTCAAGTTCGTCTGCAAGCGACACATGCCGACCGTTGCCTTCGACGCCTCGAAGCAGGTTTCCTTTGCTGCTGCTGGCTTTGAACCCTAGGATTCCCAGTCGTGCCGTGTGCTGGTGCCGACTTGGTACATTTCCACTGCGCATGGATGGCCTGCCACGGCCCCTCTGTCAAGGAGCCCGTTGGTCGGACACGCAGGCACAACACCCTTGCATTTTCGAAGATTTGAACGTACCACAAGTTTTGCACATCCAATTGTAGACGTTATGCTCGGACATTGACTGGTGAATCGACTGACCAGAATGATGACTGGCAGTTCTCCCACGAGCAGCCACACTCCTCAAGATGATGCCATCGTCCGATCTCCTCTGTCGAAGACGCCTGCACTCGGCCTTGATTAGTAGGTTGACTCTATCAGCTCAAGGGTACTCTTGCGTCCTGTGCCTCGCGACCCATGTCGTCTTACATTCCTACCGCGATGTGGCCCTCGGAAGGGTCTTGTATCCTCTCGCGTGTCCTGTCCAATCAAGTCCGACAGAATGCCAAGTATCTTCTAGGAATGCCCTGTTCTGGGCTGGCCGCGGTAGGCGGCTGTCACGCCAGGAGTCCGTTCGGAAGAGCCCCGGGCGATCACGGGCGTGACCAGCCCCGCCCCGCCCGCCCCCCCCTCTGATCACGTCGCGGCGCTCGTCCAGTGGCGACAGCGGACGTTTTGCGGCGCTCGCAGGCTACTGTGGTGTTCAGTCGCATGTTGTTGTGCTCACAGGGACGCTGTGGCACTCGCGATGGAAAGCGGCGCTTGCGTGCGTGCCGCGTGGTGCTCTCAGGGACGCAGTGTTGTTCTGTTGCTGCGAGGCATTTGCGCGGCGGTCGGAGCGCGGCGCTCGTAGCTGCCAGCGCTGTGGTGTATATGAGCACTGAATGCGCACACGGGCGTTGTGTAGTACGTGAGCGCTGCTTTGTTCATAGTCGCTGTGTCGTGCGCAGGCACTGCGGGCTGGACTCGCAGAGGGGAATGACGGGAAGTGGCAGGCGCTGGCGCACGGAGCCGAGGAGGAGGAGGAGGAGGAGGAGGAGGAGGAAGAGGAGGAGGAGAGGCCGGGGGATTGTGGAGTCCCTGTGGGTTTCAGACGATATTTTACGATATTTCACGTTGCACCTCATCGTTATTCTGATATTTCCTCTCTGGCTTTTTTTTTCTCTCTATCTCTCTCTCTCAATCTCTCCCACTCCCATTCCCATTCCATTCCCATTCCCATTCCCACTACCATTACCATTCCCATCCCCATTCCCATTCCCATTCACATTACCATTACCATTACCTTTACCTTTATCTTTACCTTTACCTTTACCATTACCACTACAATCGCCATTGTCATTGTCATTGCCATTTCCATTGCCATTGCCATTGCCACTACCAAAGCCGTTGCCATTGCCATTTTATTGCCATTGCCAGTCGCCATCCCGTCGCCATTACCATTACCAATGCCATTACCATTCCCATCCCCATTACCATCAGCCAGTACCATTACCATTGCCATTACCATTAGCATTACCAACACCATTGCCATTGCCATTACCATTACCATCACCGCTGCCATCACCATTACAATTCCCATTCCCATCACCATTACCATTACCATTACCGTTACCAGTACCACTTCCATTACCATTGCTTTTATCATTACCACTACCACTACCATTTCCATTCCTGTTCCCGTTCCAATTACCACTACAATTCCCATTCCCATTCCAATTCCCATCCCCATTACCATTACCATGACCATGACCATGACCATTACCATTACCATTGCCATGGCCATTGCCATTGCCATTGCCATTGCCGTTGCAATTCCCATTGCCATTGCCATTACCATTACCATTACCATTGCCATCGCCGTTGCCATTGCCATTGCAAATCGCTACCCCGTTACCATTGCCATAACCATTACCATTACCGTTACCGTCACCATTACCATTCCCAGTACCATTACCATTACCACTGTCATTGCCATTACCATTACCATTGCAATTGCCATTGCCATTCGCCACTACCATTACCATTGCCATTCGCCACTACCATTACCATTACCATTGCCATTGCCATTGCCATTCGCCACTACCATTACCATTGCCAGTACCATTATCATTCCGATTCACATTCCCATTACCATTACCATTACCATTACCATTACCATTACCATTACAACTGCCATTGCCATTACCATTACCATTACCATTACCTCTACCTTTACCCTTACCCTTACCATTCCCATTTCCGTTACCACTACCACTGCCATTTCCATTCCCGTTCCCATTCCCATTCACATTCCCGTTCCCATTCCCATTCACATTACCATTGCCATTGCCATTGTCATGGCCATTACCATTGCCATCGCCATTGCCATGGCCATTGCCATTACCATTACCGTTGACATTGTCATTGCCATTGCCAGTCGCTACCCCGTTACCACTATCATTACCGTTACCATTACCAAAACCATTACCATTACCTCGGTCATTAACATTACCATTTGCATTGCCATTGCCATTGCCATTAGCCACTACCATTACCATTGCCAATCTCATTGCCATTCCCACTCTCATGACCATTACCATTACCATTATCATTACCATTACCTTTACCTCTACCTTTACCTTTACCCTTACCCTTATCATTCCCATTTACGTTACCACTACCACTACCATTTCCATTCCCGTTCCCATTCCCATTCGCATTCCCATTCCCGTTCCCATTCCCACTACCATTGCCATTACCATTACACTTACCATTGCCGTTACCATTGCCATCGCCAAAATCATTGTCATTGCCATTGCCATTGCCAATCCCATTGCCATTACCATTATCGTTGCCATTGTCATTGTCATTGCCAATCGCTACCCCGTTACCATTGCCATTACCGTTACCATTACCAATACCATTACCATTACCTCTGTCATTACCGTTACCATTTCCATTGCCATTACTTCTGTCATTACCGTTGCCATTACCATTGCCATTGCCATTGCCATTCGCCACTACCATTGCCATTGCCAGTACCATTTCCATTCCCATTCCCATTACCATTACCATTACCATTACCATTACCATTACCGCTGCCATTACCATTAGAATTCCCATTCTCATTCCCATGCCCATTCCCATCCCCAATACCATTACCATTTCCATTACCATTACCAGTGCCATTACCATTACCACTACCACTACCACTATTATTTCCATTCCCGTTTTCCGTTCCCGTTCCCACTCCCATTACCATTACCATTACCATTACCATTACCATTACCACTGCCATTGCCATTACCATTACCATTACCTTTACCTTCAGCCTTACCATTACCATTACCATTGCCATGGCCATTGCCATGGCCATTGCCATTGCCATTGTCATTGCCATTCCCATTGCCATTGTCATTACCGTTACCGTTGCCACCGCCATTGTCATTGCCTCGCTACCCCGTTACCACTATCATTACCGTAACCATTACCAGTACCATTACCATTACCACTGTCACTACCATTACCATTACCATTGCCATTGCCATTGCCATTGCCATTGCCATTCGAGGATTTCAGTGGGAATCCTTCAGTGGAGGGTTTCAGTCTGAATTTTCATGTGGAAGATTTCAGTCGGAATCATTCAGTGGAGGGTTTCGATAGGAACCCTTCTGTCGAGGATTTCACTGTGGATCCTTCTTATGGGGGCGTTCAATAGGAATCCTTCTATGGGGGAGGGCAGATGTGGACACGTCGCATTCCTCCTTTTTTTTCTCCTGGCGTCCCCCCCCCAGAAAAAAAAAAACAGTTTTTTTTCTGAGGGGGGGCGCCAGGAGAAAAAAAAAAGGCAGGAGAGGGAGGAGGAGGAGGAGGGAGGAGGAGGAGGAGGAGGAGGACGACGACGACACAGAGCAGAGTTTGCACAGAAACAGTCGCGAACTCAGCGCGAAAGCCTCGCGCGCGCGCTTTGGAACCACAGGGACTCCACAATCCCCCGTTCTCGAGGAGGAGGAGGGGAGGAGGAGGAGAGGAGGAGGAGGAGTGGGGAGGAGGAGAAGGGAGGAGGAGGGGTGGAGGAGGAGGAGGAGGAGAGGAGGAGGAGGAGGAGGAGGAGGAAGGAGGACGAGGAGGAGGGAGTGGACGAGGAGGAGGAGGAGGAGTAGGAGGAGGATGAGGAGGAGGAGGGGAGGGGAATGGGGAGAGGAGGAGGAGAGGAGGAGGAGGAGAAGGAGGAGGAGGCAGGAGGGGCGGGAGGAGGAGGAGGAGGAGAGGAGGAGGAGGAGAGGAGGAGGAGGAGGAGGGAGAGGAGGAGGAGTGAGGAGGAGTAGAGAGAGAGGAGGAGGTGGAGGAGGAGGAGGAGAGGAGGAAGAGGTAGAAGGGGAGGGGAGGAGGAGGAGGAGGAGGAGGAGGAGGAGCGGGAGGAGCAAGAAGGGATGCGGATGATCAGGTGGCCGTGCCTCGCGTGAAAGGCAGGGGAGGGGGGCAGTAGATGAACAACCGATTCGAACCCTTACATGTTCGAGGGGGATTTCTGATTATCCCCCCCCGCCCCCGAAATCTATGCTGATCTCAGTAAGGTGGTGCTTTGTTGGTTCGGATATTTCTGTCCACTCACGCCCCCTACTGCGTGAAGCCCTCATCATCAATTTCGGGGGGGTCCGGTTGGCATCTTGGGCCACAGGGCTCGAACAGAATGTCCATGTACGGGAGGAGCCCCCCTCTGCAGGGCGCGCTGCCGCCACCCCTGCGGCCGCCCGCAGCGGAGGCCGCAGACGCGCCCGCGTTGGAGGCGCGCGGCCCTGCCAAGGGGGGGGGGAGAGAAGGGAAGGGGGCCGAGAGAAGGAGGTGGGAGGAGATGGAGGAGGAGGAGAAGAAGGGGCAGGAGGAGGAGGAGGAGGAGGACAAGGAGGAGGAGGAGGAGGAGGAGGAGGAGAAGGGGGAGGAGAAGGAGGAAGAGGAGGAGGAGGAGGAAGAGGAGGAGGAGGAGGAGATAGAAGGAGGAGGAGGAGGAGAGGGTTGGAGGAGAGTAAGAGGAGGAGGAGCGGGATGAGGAAGGAGGAGAGGAGGAGGAGGAGCCCCTCGTCCTTGTCCCCTCCTCCTCCTCCACCTCCTCCTCCTGCTCCTGCTCCTCCTCTTCCTCCTCCTTCTCCTCCTCCTCCTCCTCCTCCTCCTCCTCCTCCTTCTCTTCCCTGGTATTTGGGGCCCACCAATCGAAGATTCCTGGTATTCCAAGTCCGATTGCGGGAGGTCGCCCTTGGCCCAGGGGGGTGGGCGTTTGCCGAGGGGCAGAGTGTTTCACGGAGATTTGGCACGGTCATGAACTTTGGCTCAGCGTGTCGCCCGGCTGGTCCTGCTTGCGGAGTGGAGCGACACGCCATCCGCTTGCAGGGCGTAGCATGTCGCTGGGGCCGCCGCCACGACACGTTAGGTAGGCGTTCGACAACAGTTCCCGACCGTATTTCCCCTTGGCAGCACTGATCGGGGAGAAGGACTATCATGGAGTCACTGGACGGCTGGCATAGGATGCGTGCAAGTGTCATTCAGGTCCTGGATGGGGGAACGGTTCTTGAATGCCGTGTTCTCTTGGCGTTGCATTTGATGCAAAGCTGGAAGGGAGGCGCCGTCCTCTAAGACGGATGCGTGCACGAGTGGAAGAGGTATTGCGTTGACCTCTTTACACCATCGGCACCTCAGCAACAACAGTCTGGGCTAACACCGATGGCAAGTACCCAGGACCGCCGGCATTGCCGCCCGCTATGTCCTGGAGGCCAAAGCCTCGCACGGTGGCGAAATCGCCAGGGCGGATAAGTTCATGAAGCGAAGGGCTGCCTTGTTATTAAAGACACTCCCAGTCACATCAAGGTCACAAACAGCGCCTACAGTGAGCTGGTTACCCCAACCCACGGATGGAAGAGCTACCGCGCTAATTACAAACAAACGCCTTCACGCCGACGGTACACATCTCAGCAACAACAAGCTGGGCAGGGCAGACACATATGGCAAGTGTGCAGGACAGCCGGCGTCGCCGCCGGGCTGTATCCGAGGAGCCGAAGCCTCGGACGGGCGCGGAGCCGCTAGGACGGACAAGCTCACGAAGCGAAGATTTGCCGTGCTATGAACAGTAACCCCATTCACGACGTGGAGAGGCGTCGGGAGGGACGAGGGGAGACCGAAGACGTTGACGCCAGCATCGACGGCGACGACGACGACGACGACGGCAGCGCCCTGAAGGACGGCGGGCCGCAAGGGTCGGGCGGAAGCCGGCCGCCGAGCGAGGGGCCCCGCGCGGGTGGCGCCGCCGCGTACCCTGTGAGCGAGGAGCGGAGGGGGACGGTGATGGTGATGAGGATGGTGTTCGTCGCCATCATCATCGTCATCATCATCAGCATCATCATCGTCGTCATCATCACCGCCATCATCATCACCACCACCATCATCAATATCAGTATCATTATCATTATCATCATCAGCATCATCATAAGCTCTATGTTCATCGTCACCCTCCTGTATCATCATCATCAGCATCATCAGTCTTACCATCACCGTCACTGTCGCTATCACCATCACGATCCTCATCACCATCACCATCCTCATCGTCCTCATCATCCTCATCATCCTCATCATCAGCATCATCACCATCATTATCATCACCATCACCATCATCAGACTCATCACCACCATCATCATCATCATCATCATCATCATCATCATCATCATCATCATCACCGTCATCAGCATTATCATCATCACCATCACCATTATGATCATCACCACCATCACCACCATGATCATTCCCATCATCATCAGCGAAGAAGAAGATGAAGAAGAACAACGGCATAACCATAAACTTTCGGAGCTCTGCGCGGATTTCTGGGATCGGCGCTGGGCCCCCCCCGGCGGCGCCTCCAGCGACGCCCCTGGCGCGCTCCGCGGGCCAGGGAGGGTTGTCTGGCGCAGATCGACGAAGTCCGTGCGGACCGTTTATGTTGTTTTTGTTTCCCGAATCATCACTCACCACATCCACTCGTCACCATTATAATGAAGATGGAGGGGGGAGGGGGAAGAGGATTGGGAAGAGCGGTCCACCTCCCCATTCCCTGAAGGTAGAGAGGAAGAGCGGAGGTGGAGGAGGATGAGGCTGAGGAGGAAACGAGGGAGGGGCGAGGAGGGTAGGGGGAGAAAGAGTGAGGGGGACTTTTTCAGACAGTTGTTCTTGAGCCTCCGCGCGGACTGGCTGGAGGCTTCCGAGGCCTCCAGATACCTGTCTTGGAATTCCCAGCTCAGAAAGTTTCTGGGGACCTCTAGGACCCAGGTCTCCGGTGACTCGAGCAAAACTTCGCGCAGGTGGTTTCTCGCAATTTGCGGCGTCCCTCATCCCGTGCCCATCTCGCCCCTCCAAGCCGTCTTCCCCCTCTCGCTTCCTCTTCGCGCTCGCCCTCGTCAGCCTCCTCCTCATCCTCCTCTTCCTCATCATCCTCCTTCTGCCCCCCATTCGATGGGCGAATCCTCTCGCCGGGGTGCCCCTCGCCGCCAAAGGCGCCACTGTGCTCATAGAGCCTGGAACCGCCTTTCCCGCATAGTCCTGCATTGTCGTCTTCCGCATCGTCCTTCTTCGCCTCTTACTCCTCGTCCTCAGGAGGAGGAGGAGGAGGAAGACGAGGAGGACGAGGAGGAGGGTGAGGAGGAGCAGGAGGAGGAGCAGGAGGAGGAGCAGGAGGAGGAGGAGGAGGAGGAGGAGGAGGAGGAGGAGGAGGAGGAGGAGGAGGCTCCTGCCTTCGATCTCGCTGCTGCCGGTGGCGCTGGGGACACGCACTCCCTCCAGGTGTCGACGCCCCCCAACCCCCGCGAGGAGGGCGCGGCGACCTCCGCCAGGGACTCGCGCCAAACGGCCTCGGCGGCCCTCGCGGCTGCCGCGCCCGCGCTCGCGCCTCCGAGGCGCGGCCGCGAGCGGCCGACGTCGTGTGCGTTTCCATCGTCGTCGTGAGCATCAGCGTCGCCGTCTTCCCATCCGCCCACCTCCTCCTCCTCCTCCTCCTGCCCCTCCTCCTCCTCCTCCTCCTCCTCCTCCTCCTCCTCCTGCCCCCCCTCCCTCCTCCTCGTTCCTCCTCCTCCTCCTCCTCCTCCTCCCCTCCTCCTCCTCCTCCTCCTCCTCCTCCTCCTCCTCCTCCTCCTCCTCCTCCTCCCTCCTCCTCCTCCTCCTCCTCCTCCACCTCCTCCTCCTCCGCACTCGCCTCCACCCGTCCCCATCCCCCGTCCTTCCTCCCGTCCCCCACCCCCCCTTCCTTATTTCCTCCTCCCGTCCTCCCTTCCCTTCCTACCTCCCCCCACCGTGTTCGTCCGGGGCCACCCTGGGCCACGGCACGGTCATTTCAAGCGCCTGCCCGAGGCCTGGATGGTGCATGTACTATTCTACGGAGGGTTCGGATGGCTTTGGCCAGGCGGTGTGGTAGTGCACCTGTGGATGCAGTGTGCGGACGGGGTGTAGGTGGGGGTCCCCCGTTGCGTGCGCTGTTTGTTGATCCGTCACTTTCCTCATCTCGCGTGCGCACTTTCACCCCTTCGAGGGTCGTCTTTCCCCTATCTCTGATTGACGGGTCGGCAGCTGAGTCACCAGCAAGCGCGCCCTGGCGATTGTGTTGTGGATGTTCAGCTGGCCCACCCTGAAGGGCACCGTACCCTGGCTGATCTTCCAGGCAGTTCTGAGGCTATCGTCCATCCAGGAGCTTGGGTAGGGTGAGGAGTTGGTGGGGTGGCTGGGGCCTACATATGGGGTGCTGCTTACGGATGGGTTTGTGGGATGGCGTCCCTGGCGCAGTACCCGCCCTCCCTCCTCCACCTCCTCTACCTTCTCATTTGCCCTCATCATTTTCCCTCCTCCCCTCCTCCTCTTCCTTCTCCTCCCTAGACTGCAACCAGTCTTCTGCATAGTTTCATTCACAGAACACACGCAGAAAGCATTATTTGAAATCAAGCTGCCTGCAGCAAGCCTTGCCACCGCTCCTGTGCCACAGCGCAGCAGGAAGGAGAAGGATGCTGAATGTAGGAATGCTGCAACTCGGGCGAGATGTCTGAACTGGGACTTGTCGTGAACTCAACCCCGCCTTCGCCCGCGCGGTTCGGAGAAGGAGAAGGAGGAGAGGAGGAGGAGGAGGAGGAGGAGGAAGAAGAGGACGAGGACGAGGACGAGGACGAGGAGGAAGAAGAGGAGGAGGCCTCTTGGGGGCCTCCTGAGGTGGGGGCCTCTTGGAGCCTCTTCTGCTGTCTTAGGGGCCTCTTAACCCGTCTGACGCTTCCGGAGGCCGTCTCGGGGGCCTCTCCGGGCCGTTTTGGTGCCCTCTTGGAGCGCTTGAGTGCCGTATTGGGGCCCTCTTGGGCGATCTTGGGTCTTCTTGCGGCAGGCTTGGGGCCGTTTTGGGAGCACCATGGGCTGTCTTAGAGCTATCTTGGAGGCCTGCTGGGCCGCCTTGGGGGGTCGGAAACCAAACAGGCGAGAACCACTAAATCTCTCAAGAACGTTACGAAATCAATTGTATTTGCCTCCTCGGGCTCTCGTAGAGGGCTTATTGGGACCGTCTTGGGGGCCTCTTGGGCCGTTTTGAGGTTGTATTGAGATGCCCTTGAGCCGTCTTGGGCCATGTTGAACCATTTTGGTGTCGTCTTGGGTGTCCAAGACGCCGTTTTGGAGGCCATCTTGGCTGTTTGGACGCCGAGAAGAATGCCTGACGTCAATTTCAGAGGGGGCGATTTTCGAAGCACGCGCGCGAGAGGGTGGGGCCTTAGAAAACATTTTGAAGCCCTCCCAGGCAACAGCAAGCAGTCTAACACACTCATTCCGTGCAAGCACGGTGACGGGTTGTACCACCCTCATCATCCTCGCTCCCCCTCCGCCTCGCTGTCGTCAGCGTTGCCGTCGATGTCCTCCTACTCCTCCCCCCTCCACCGTTAGCCCGCGACGGCCCTCTCGAAGTGAGCCTTGGAGCGATTGCGCCAATGACTGGTGCTCGAGTCGGCCTCGCGTTGGGGCCGTGAGGGCCGGGCTGTACCTGGGCCGAGGGTGGAGGGACGTGACGCCAGTGGTGCAGGAGCGCTCCCGCACCCCGTCGCGGAGGCTCGGGTTGGCAACGGCCAGGGGACCGTTCTGGGGTCCCTCGTTGGGCCTCGGAGAGCTCAGCGTGGCTTTCCCGGGGGCCTCGGGGGATCTCGGGGGGGCCTGGGTCCACGGGGACCTCGGAGGGGATCGTGGGACTACGTGGGAGCTCGATGGGGCCCCGTCTCGGCATCGCTCGGACGTGTTCGTTTTTCTCGGCCAGGCCAGAGCCAGAAGGTCTGCACCATCCTGGAGCATCTTGGATCACAACGAGGACGTGGACGGCCGAGCGATGGCCAAGTCGTGAGACCTCGGCGGACCTCTATTGACCCAGCGCGGCTTCGGGGGTCTCTGGTGAGCTCTGATGGATCTCGGGTGCACTCGGGGGGTCTTTACGGGACCTCGGCGGGCTGCCTCAGCGCAGTGGCCGTAGAACGTCAGGGCTGGACACAGCAGTTATGCCATGCGGACCCCCGAGGTCACCACTATGTCCTTGGAGCTCTCCCAGGGGCCTCTGGAGGTCCCTGGAGGCGACAAGCAGGGGCTCAAGGCCTCGATCTTCGGCCCTCCTCCTCGTGATGCTCGGAGGCACCAAGCAAGGGCTCAGAGCATCGATCTTTGGCCTGTCTCCTCGCGGTTCCCGGCTCCGCTCTTTTGGTCCTCCTCTCCGGGTCAAGGCGCGCGTGGCGGCCCGCCGGCGGCAGCGCGGAGCTGTACCAGCAGCGGCAGCCGAGGAGCGGGGGTTCTCTTGGAGGGGGGGGGGTCCCAAAGAGGGGGGGGAGGAGGAGGAGGAGGAGGAGGAGGAGGAGGAGGAGGAGGAGGAGGAGGAGGAGGAGGAGGAGGAAGAGGAGGGGGAGGAGGGAGGAGGATTGTCACGGCTGTCGTTTAAGGCACGGGTAATGTTTTACCGCTTCGTGCCCTAACAATGGTGGCACGCCATGTTCTGGATGCAACACTTGTGAAGATGCGGCTACTACCACGCCTATGCTGTGCAACACTCGCGCCAATGCCCTCCACTGCGCGGCCTATGACCGCCCATGGCCTACACGCGGGCCCTTTGCACGGTGGCTGGTAAGCCCCCCACCCCCATGCCTGACACTGCCACCTATGCCCCGCGTGCAACTGCGGAGACCCCAGGCCTGCTACGGCCTACTATGGTCTGCGAAGTATCAACATGTCAAAGCACGAACCTACCTGACTGTTTGGTATGCCATGCTAGTTCAAGTGGGATGCAACCTGGAATGCACGAGTGAAGTCCCCCACGGCTGCGAAGCAGGATGGTTTACAACCGCCTGGCCTCTTCCCAGAGGAGGGCCACCCCACGACTGTGAAGCACACTTAGCTGCCCCGTGCCAATCCCCGTACTCCCATGGATGCAACACTTGTGAAGATGCGGCTGCTACCACGCCTATGCTGTGCAACACTCGCGCCAATGCCCTCCACTGCACGGCCTGTGGCCACCCATGGCCTACACGCGGGCCCTTTGCACGGTGGCTGGTAAGCCCCCCACCCCCATGCCTGACACTGCCACCTGTGGCCCGCGTGCAACTGCGGAGACCCCAGGCCTGCTACGGCCTAATAAGGTCTGCGAACTATCAACATGTCAAAGCATGAACCTACCTGGCTACTCCTCCACGACGTGTCTGGGGCACGGGGCCAAAAGCACGAGGAGGAGGAATAGGATGAGGAAGAGGAACAGTAGGATGAGGAGACCAAATGACGCAATACCAGACAAGAGACGCCTCTTCCGTACCAAAACGACCACCCTTCGGGTGATAAGGAGGTTTCGGGGGGGGGGAGTAACCAACGCGCACGAACACGAAACCGAAACCGATTTCCCGGTAGGGGGGCTCTCCGTTCCACTTCGATCTCTCCCCCTCACCTCCGATTTGCATGGGACATCCTCCAATGCACGGGGACTGCGTGTCCCATAAAAGGGACTGCGCGTCCCATTTGCCAGGACTGTGTGTCCCATAATCGAGACTGCGCGTCCCATTTGCCAGGAATGTGTGTCCCATAGCAGGGACTGCGCGTCCCATTTGCCAGGGCTGCGTGTCCCATAACAGGGACTGCGCGTCCCATTTGCCAGGAGGAGGAGGAGGAGGAGGAGGAGGAGGAGGAGGAGGAGGAGGAGGAGGAGGAGGAGGAGGAGGAGGAGGACCAGTGTAAATCCAAAAGTTTTCCCCAAAGGCGGGGCTCCGGAGCCACCCCCCGCTGGATTTGGAGGTTGATAGACCTCCTACCCTGACACGTCGATGAAGGAATGGGCCGTTTTCGGTTCGCGAGAGGGCGTCGCGGCCGTCGTTTTTGCGGGTCCAGGTCCGTCGGTTTCGGCCCCAAGCCGTTTTCACGAAGTGGAGGTTTACTGAAGGGAGGTTTGTCCACCGCCGATGCATGCCCACACATCCCCGAGCCTGTTTCTATTTGGACCCCAGCAAGTCTACCGGCATTGACGAGGGGGGGCGGGGCTTGAGCCTGAAGTGAGCCGCAAACGATTCTTGCACGAGCAGAAGCCACGCAAGTCGGAAGGCACCTGCACGCCAGTGTGCGTCTGAAGAGGGGCGAGGGGGGTGGTGGGTGGGGGGGGAAGGGGGAGGGGGGGCGCGAGGGCCACGCAAGTGAACTCGCCTGAGTGGGAAGAAACACGGGCCCGCTCGACGCGGTTCGCCTCCGGCCCCACCTCTGGCGCCCCCCCTCCCCGGGAGGAGCGGGGGCGGCGGGCCGCTGCCCAGCAGGCAGGCCTCGCCGTGGCCGGGCGCGGCCGGCGGCGGGCTGGACGCGGGGCGGCAGCGGCGGGAGCCGCTGCGTGGCGACCTGGTCAGTCACAGGGGCGCGGCCTGCCTGCTGCTGGAGATCAGGAGCCGGGTGGTCGGAGGCGTGGGCCCTGGAAACGACAGGGCCGTTTTTTTACCAGTTCCGTTTTGCCGTTTTTTTGCCGGTTCCGACGCCGTTTTTTTACCGGTTCCGTCGCCGTTTTTTGACCGGTTCCGGCTCCAGTTCCACTCCTGGAACCGGTTTTTTGCCGTTTCCGGTCGCCGTTTTTTTGCCGTTTCCATTTTCAAGGGACATTTTTTGGGGAAACGGTGAAAAAACGGCCCTACCGTTTCCGGGGCCCACTAAGGTCGGAGGGGGAGGGGCGGGGTGGCCAGATGAGGTGTTCAGTCGGGCGTGCAGAGATGTAGTGTCAAGTCGGGCGCGTCCCTCTGCAGGAGGAGTTCTCAAGATGAGTCAAAAAAGTAGTCAGGGGGACGATTCTGTGACTATTTCTGCCTACTTGGGCGTATGATCTACTATTTCCAACGATTCGTCCAAAACCCGCCTGTCGGAGGACATGCCCGACCTAAATGTAGGGTTTCTTCCCGAGTAGCCTTTCGCCAGAGGGTTTTTTCCATCGGGGCGCCAGAACAGACCGCGGAAAAGTCCCACGGAGGGGGGGGCGGGGAGCCTGAGGACGCCTGGTCCCGCAGCCGCTTCGCCCGAGATTTCCTGACAAGTTGTTTTGGAGGTGTGGTCTCGCATCAGTGCGGGCTAGATACTCGGCCTGGATGGCCACGATCCTTTGTAAACCATGCGCACATGGGCGTGCTCTAACCCCTGTCCCGGCACGTTTTCACTAGCCGGCCTCCTACTCCGCGAGCCGTTTCTTCACCTGTACTGCTTTCAGGGTGCTTTTTTGGGGGTGCTGACGTTTTTGCTTTGCTTGGGCGCCTGGAGGCCACTAGAGACCTCCGCAAAGGCTCCGGCTACATCTTGGGACTTCGGAGACCTCAGAATAACTCCTGGGAACCTGCTGGGATGCTTAGTGGCCTTCGGCCCAGCCCTCCACCGTGCCTAGGTCGTGTGCAAGTGGCCTTTGGGGTCTCCTGGGGGATCTCTTGAAGGGCCTCTTGGAAGCCTCTCGGGAACTTCACTCTTGGAGGTGTCCAGGGCCTCTTGGAGACCTCTTGGCGGCCTTTCGGGGGTCTCCATGCCTTCTTAGAGGAGCGGATTCCGGCGGCGCTGCGGTGGCGGATTCCAGCGGCGCTGCGGTGGCGCTCTTTCGTAGGCCCCTCTTTGGGCTGTCTTTTGGGGCTCTTGGGCCCTCTTGGGGAGATCTGAGGGGGGTTTTGGGCGCCCTCAAGACCTGAACGCGGAGAATGTTAAGATCATGCGAGAGCCGTGCATTCATTAATTTGGGCTTCTTCGGTTAGCCCCAGCAGAAGTGCCCAGAACGGTTCCAGCTCGGGGCACCTGGAGACCATCTTACGGCATGCTGGAATTTTGATTCCCAAGAGCGTTTCGAAGACCTCTGGGAAGGTGACGCGGCAAATTCCAGGAATCCAGGGCCTGGTGCCTTCAAAGCTTCGAGGACACCGATACTGATGACTCAGAGGGGCCTGGGGACACTCCACTCAGTGCCCCGCGGCACGGTGGCTGAATCTGCACCACCACAGTGCGCGTCTGTTCCTTCACGGGTCACAAATGTGGTACTCAAACCTGCTTCTGGTCAAGGACGAGCGGAGCGGCGAACGAAAAGCCCTACGCCGTCCTGCAGACTGTCGACGGGCGCGTCCGGGTGGAGACAGACCTCAGCAAGCTTTCGCTCATGGCGGAGACATTTTCGCCGACTGCGGAGGATGCTGAGTTCAAGGTGGGTTCCAAGGTCATGGTGCAGCGGCCCAAAGGGTTTCCTTGGAAGTGCTCTGTCATCGGCATCGAAGGGGATTACCTGAGGATCCACTACCAGGCAGGGTCCACTTCGATTCGATCGAGACGACTCCGTATCGATTCCGGAACGCTTTGTCCAATTCGATTCCGATGTTCGGCGATTCCGATTCGATACCGATGCGTCCCGATGTTTGCGTGGTGTTGTTGTGTATTTTGTCGCAGCCGATGTTATTTGCGTTCGACTCGTTGCCGATACAGTCTCATCCGACGCACATTCCGATCTGACCCGATTTCCCAATTGTACGCCGACCGATCCTGCTGCGTACCTGCTACGAGCGGCGAACACAACCGTATCCGCGCCCTCGCGGTCTGGATTTCGGGGCGCGATCCCGTGAATGCGCGGTCGCATGGATCTGTTCCGCGCGGGGCATCCGCGGACAAAAACGCCCCGTGTCCGCGGGGTCGCGGCCCAGGGGCCCAGCCCGCGAGGCCGGGGATACGGAGATGGCGCCGTCCATTTTGCTCATGTTCCAAAGGCTCGTTATTCGAGCGGCGGTCATGGCCAACACGGCGTCACACAGCCCCGTTGGGTCACGGGGCCAACACGCGGTCACACCAGCCCCATTGGGCTCCCGAGGGTTCCCCCCGAGGGCTCCCGCGAGGGGCCACACAACATGCCCGCCAACACGGGTGTGTGGCTGCCGCAAGTTGGCAACGCCACAAAATGCAGGCGGCCATAGTATGACGAGAGAACAACCCACTTCCATAATTACCCTAAGGGGGCTCCGAGGGAGGAGGCCTGGCCATAAGCACGTGTGCGAGTTGTCGGACCCCTGGGGAGACTCCCGTTCCAGCGGGGACCCCCATCCGACAACACGCGCCCATAGCCCCCTCCGTCTCCCCTATGGGTATGGGTGTGTGTTGTTCGCTCGTACCGCGCTGCCGCCCTCGTCTTTCTCCTTTCCCTTGCACGCCGGACCGTTCGCCTTTCGGCTGCCCCGAGCAGCCACCCGCTGGAGCGGACTGCCTCTGCCTCGCTGCCGACGTCAAAAAACGTGAGATTCCGTGGGGCAACCAGAAAGTACTGATACCACTCCTCCCCGGACCTCTCCCGGGGTGCGTTCTGACCAGGATTTCGAGGAGAACCCGGCGGTGGCGACGAGGGCCTCCCAGGACGCCCAAAAACATTGAAACGGAGAGAAGGGTAGAGGTATGGGTTCCTTTTCCTCCTCTGAGTTCGCTCGTCACCTGCTTTCTCGCCCACGGGCCAGGGCTTCCCAGACGACTTCGACGAGTGGCTGCCGAAGGCCTCCTGGCGCATCACCCGGGCCGCGGCGCGGACGACGGGGCCTCACGCGGCGGGGCCGCGGCGGAGGCCGAGGCCTTCGGCGGGGGGAGGGCCGCGAGGCGTGCAGCCGCCACCCACGGCGAGGGCGTCGTCGTCGCCGCCGCCGTCGTCGTCGTCGTCGGAGCGGCGGGCGCCCTCCAGGGGGTTTGGAGGCGACGACGACGACGACGACCGTGACGACGACGACGACGACGGCGGCGACGGCGGCGACGACGGCGACGACGGCGACGACGACGGCGGCGACGGCGGCGACGACGACGGCGACGACGACGGCGACGACGACGACGACGGCGACGACGGCGACGACCACGACGACGACGGCGACGACGGCGACAACGACGCCCGCTGACGACAGCGTCGACGACGAGGACGACCGTGACGACGACGGCGACGACGACGGCGACGACCACGACGGCGACGACGACGAGACGATGACGGCGTCCACTGCGACGTTTACGACGACGACGGCGACGACCACGGTTGCGGCGGCGGCGACGACGACGACCGTGACGCCGACGACGGCGATGACGGCGACGACGACGACGACGCACGACGACGACCACGACGACGACGACGGCAACGATGACGGCGACACCAACGACGACGACGACGACGACGGCGGCGGCGGCGGGAGCGACGGCGGCAACGTCGACGACGACGACGACGACTGCGACGACGACACTCACGACGACGACGACGACGACGGCGGCGACGACGACGACGTCGACGGCGACGACGACGACGACGACGCCCGCTGACGACGGCGTCGACGACGAGGACGACCGTGACGACGACGGCGACGACGATGGCGACGACCACGACGTCGACGTTGACAATGGCGACGACGACGACGACGATGACGGCGACAACGAAGACGATGACGGCGTCGACGACGACCACGATGACGACGACGTGACGACGACGACGACGGCGGCAGCGACGACGACGTGACGACGTCGACGTCGAGGACAACGACGTTGACGACGACGACGGTGACGACGACGGCGGCGGCGGCGACGACGACGACCGTGACGCTGACGACGGCGACGACCGTGACGACGACGACGACGCACGACGACGACCACGACGACGACGAAGACCGTGACGACGACAACGACGACGGCGGCACCAATGACGACGATGACGACGGCGGCGGCGGCGGTAGCGACGGCGGCAACGTCGACGACGACGACTGCGACGACGACGACGACGACGGCGATGACGACGACGACGTCGACGGCGACGACGACGCCCGCTGACGACGGCGTCGACGACGAGGACGACCGTGACGACGACGGCGACGACGACGGCGACGACCACGACGACGACGACGACGGCGACGACGATCACGACGACGGCGACGATGGCGACAGCGACGACGATGACGGCGACGACGACGACCACGATGACGACGACGTGACGACGACGACGACGACGACAACGGCGACGGCGACGACGACGTGACGACGTCGACGTCGAGAACGACGACGTTGACGACGACGACTGCGACGACGACGGCGGCGGCGGCGACGACCACGACCGTGACGTTGACGACGGTAGCGACCCCGACGACGACGACGACAACGCACGACGACGACGGTGACGACGACGGCGACGACGACGACCGTAACGACGACAACGATGACGGCGACAAGGACGACGACGACGACGGCGGCGGCGGCGACTACGGCGACGTCGACGACGACGGCGACGACGACGACGACGGCGACGATTACGACGACGACGACGATGGCGGCGGTGGCGACGACAGCGACGACGACGGTGACGCTAACGACGACGACGACGACGACGACGACGACGACGACGACGGCGGCGACGACGACGACGACGGCGACGACGACGGCGGCGACGACGACGACGGCGACGACGACGACGTCGACGACGAGGACGAGCGTGACGACGACGACCGTGACGACGACGACGTCGACGTTGACGATGACGACGACCGTCACGACGACGACTGCGACGACGATGGCGGCGACGACTTCGACGACGACGACGATGGTGACGACGACGACCACGACGACGACGTGACGACGACGACGGCGGCGACGACGACGAGGACAGCGGCGGACACGACGACGGCGACGGCGACGACGGCGTCATGACGTCGACGTCGATGACGACGACGTTGACGACGACGACGGCGACGACGACGGCGGCGGCGGCGGTGACGACGACGACCGTGACGTCGACGACGGCGACGACGCCGACGACGACGACGACGACGACACACGACGACGACCACGACGACGACGACGACGACGACGTTGACGATTACGGCGACAATAATGACGACGACAACGTCGGCGGCGGCGACGATGGCAGCGCTGTCGACGACGACGACGTTGACGGTGACGATTGCGACGTCGGCGGCGACCGTGACGACGACGAGGACCACGACGACGACGGCGAGGGCAACGACGACGACGGCGGCGGCGACGACGATGACGTCGACGAAGACGACGACCTCGACCATGCCGGTGACGTCGACGACGTCGACGACGGCGACGACGACGACGGCGACGACGATTGTGACGGCGACGATGACGACGGCGGTGGCGACGACGGCGACGACGACGACGGCGGCGGCGACGAAGACGACGACCACGACGACGACAACGTTACGACGATGACGACGGCGACGACGACGACGACGATGGCGGCGGTGGTGACGACGACGACGTGACGACGCCGACGTCGACTACGACGGTGACGACGACGGTGTCTGCGGCGGCGGCGACTACGACGACCGTGACGGCGATGTCGACGACGCCGACGAAGACGACGACGACGCACGACGACGACCACGGTGACGACGACGGCGACGATGACGGCGTTGACGACGACGACGGCGGCGGCGGCGACAGCGGCGACGACGCCATTGACGTCGACGACGACGAGGACGATAACGACGGCGACGAAGACGACGAAGATGCCGACGATGACAACGAGGACGTCGCACGACGACGACGCCGACGACGCCGACACCAACAACGACGACGACGACGACGACCGTGACGACGACGGCGATGGCGACGACGACGACGACGTCGACGTCGACGACAACGACGACGACGGCGGCGACGACGACGTCGACGACGACGACGGCGACGACTGTGGCGTTGGCGGCGGCGGCGACGACGACGACCGTCACGTTTACGACGACGACGACGACAATTTCGGCGGCGACGTTGACGACGCACGACGACGACCACGACAACGACGACGACGACGACGACGACGACGACGACCGTGACGATGACATCGGCGACGACGACGACCGTGACGACGACGACGACCGTGGCGTGACGACGACGGCGACGACGACGACCACGACCATGACGACGACGACAATGGCGTCGGCGATGACGACGACATCGACGACGACGACGTCGACGTCGACAACGACGACGGCAACGACGACCACAGCGACGGCGACGGCCGCGGTGGCGGTCAGGACGACGACCGTGTCGTCGACGACGGAGACGGCGACGCCATTGACAACAACGATGACAACGCCGACGCCGGCGACGACGACGACGACGACCGAGACGACGACGGCGACGAGGACGGTGGCGAGGATGATGACGACGACGACGACGGCGACGACGGTGGTGGCGGCGACGGCGACGGCGGCGGCGACGACGACGACGACGACGACCACGACGACGACCGTGACGACGGTGGCGGTGGCGACGACGACCGCAGCGGCGACGACGACGACGACGATCGAGACGACGACGGTGACGACCACGACGACGGCGACGACGATGACGACGGCGACGACGTCGACGGCGACGACTGCGACGAAGACGACGGCGACGACGACGGCGGCGGCGGCCGCGACGACGACGACCTGGACGACGACGACGACGTTGCCGACGACCGTCGTGACGACGACGACGGCGCACGACGAAGACGACGGTGACGACGACGACGACAACGACGACGGCGGCAACGGCGACGACGATGACGACGACGACGGCGACGACGACGGCGGCTGCGGCGGCGACGATCGCGGCGACGACGACGGCGACGACCACGACGACGACGGCGGCGACGACGACGACGACGACAACGACGGCGGCGCCGACGACGCCGACGACGACGACCGTGACGACGGTGGCGACGACGACGGCGGCGGCGGCGACGACGGTGACGACGACGACGTTGACGTCGACGGCGACGACGACTGCGGCTGCGGCCGCGCCGACGACGACCGTGACGACGATGACGCTGACGACGACGACGACGACGACGTCGACATCGATCACGATGACGACGGCGACGACGACGACGACGACGACGACGGTGACGCCGACGACGACGACGGCAATGGCGGCGACGACGACGACGACGACGGCAGCGACGATGACGGCGACAACGACGACGACGACGACGACGACGACGACGGTGGCGACGACGACGATGGCAACGACGGCGACGGCGACGACGACGACGACGACGGCGACTACGACGACCGTGACGTCAACGACGGCGACGACGAGGGCGACGACGACGACGGCGACGGCCCTGTCGATTACGACGACGACGACGTCGACGCTGACGATGCTGTCGGCAGTGACGACGACGCGCAAAGACGACCGTGACGTCGACGACGAAGTCGACGACGACGACGACGGCGACGACGGTGGCGGTGACGACGGCGGCGACCACGACGGCGACAGCGACGACGACGACGGCTGCGTTAACGACGACGGCGACGACGACGACGACGACGACGGCGGCGACGACGGCGACGGCGGCGGCGGCGGCGGCGACTGTGGCGGCCGCGGAGACGACGACGGCGACGTCGACAACGACGACAACCACGGCGACACACGCCGACGACCACGACGAGGTTGACGACGACGACCGTGATGACGACGAAGTTGACGATCAAGGCGGCGACGGCGACGTTGACGGCGGCGTAGGCGACGACGACCATGACGACGTAGACGTCGACTGCGGGTCTGACGATGGCGGCGACGATGACGACGACGACGACGACGGCGACGGCGACGACGACGACGACGACGACGACCGTGACGACGACGACGGTGGCGACGACGACGACGGCGACAACGACGACGACGGCGGAGGCGACGACGACCACGACGACGACGGCGTCGGCGACGACGACGTCGACGTCGACGGCGGCGACGACGACGGCGGCGGTGACGACGACGACGGCGAGCTGCCGTCGTCGTCGGTGGCGACGACGAAAAAGGAGACCCCGACGGCGGCGACGACGACGCCGACGATTATGACGACGACAACGACGACGACGACAGTGACTACGACGATGGCGACGTAGACGGCGACGACGACGACGACAGTGGCGGCGGCGACGACGACGTCGGTGGCGACGACGGCGTCGACGACGACGATGGCGACGACGACGACGACGACGACCGTGACGACGACGACGACGGGCGTTGACGACGACGACGACGACGGCGACGACGCCAACGACGACGACGGTGACGATGACGACGGCGACGACTACGGTGGCGGCGCCGCCGCCGCCGACGACGACGACGACGACCGTGACGTCTACGATCACGACGCCGACGACGCACGACGACGTCGACTCACGACAACAACCAAGACGACGACCGTGACGACCACGGCGACGACGACGACGACGACGACGACTACGACGACATCGCCGACGACGTCAAAGTCGGCGACGACGACGACGACGACGACAACGACCGTGACGACGACGACGGCGACGACGACGACGACCACGAGTTCGACGGCGGCGGCGGCGACAACGACGACGACGACTTCGACGACGACGACCCCCCCGCGAATGGGGGGGGGCTGGGTTCTGGACCCTGGAGGTTCTTCCCGTCAGAGGTTGGGGGGAGGAGGGGGAGAGGTCCCTTGGTTTCTGACCCCCCTTTCCAGGACTTTGCGTTTTTTGAGGGGGGCGGCCCCCGTCCTCCTCCTCCTCCTCCTCCTCCGCCTCCTCCTCCTCCTTGGTTTCGAATCCCCACCTGGAAAGAACATTGACAGACCAGCGACGGTTGTCCGCGCTCTCTCGGGGTGGGGGGAGAGCGGGGGGCGGGCTCTGTCAAGGGGGGGGAGGGGGAGGAGGAGGAGGAGGAGGAGGAGGACGAGGAGGAGGAGGAGGAGGAGGACGAGGACTGCCCCCCCCCCCCCCCCCCGAAAATGAAAATGTTCCAGCGACGGTGGATCGCGCTCCCTCGGATGCCGCCGCCCGCTGTCAGGGGTGTAGAGGCCCCCCCTTCTCCTCCGCGCCCCATCGCCCTGCCCTTGGCCCAACCGCGTGTCTCCCTCGTGGCGCCTTCGGGGGGCGCCCGTGGACGCTGGATGTTGCGCCCTCGCCCTGCAGTCTTGCGATGCGCGGCGACTGCGAGCATAGATCCCCCTCACATCATCATCCTCCTCTCCCTACTTCAAGGGCATAATAAACGCCCCTACCCTGGTTTACGAGGCGCTGTGCGCTGAAACTCCTGTGGGCTGACAGGGTAAACCCTGCGTGATGTGCCGCGTCCTGGCGGTTCTAGGCGTTGGGGGGTCCCAGGAGGTTTATTGACCACGCACTTGTAACCCAGGGTAGGGTCGTTTTTTCATCCCTCAACTCCTCCTCCTCCTCCTCCTCCTCCTCCTCCTCCTCCTCCTCCTCCTCCTCCTCCTCCTCCTCCTCCTCCTCCTCCTCCTCCTCCTCCTCTCTTCCTCCTCCTCGTCCTCCGCCTCCTCCTCCTCCTCCTCATGATTATCCTTTCCGGGGCCAAACCGGGCGTTCGCTCCTTGCTCAGCGTTCCGCATGGCAGCAGCTCGCCTGTACTCGAGCAGCTCGCAGTTCGGGTTGCGCGCTCTCTCTCTCCGCAGGTCTGCGTCGTCGGGCGGCGAGCGCACGCAGCTCCGGAGGGCGGAGGCGAGGCTGCAGACCGCCTGCGAGGACTGGGCGGGCGCCGGGGGTGTCGAAGAGTGGCGGCAGGAATGCACTCGAGCCTCTGAGATACGAGCCGTTCTGAGCTGAGGAGGGGGCTCCTCCCCCTGCTCCTCCCTCTCCTCCTCCCTCTCCCTCCTCCTCCCTCCTCCACCTCCTCCTCCTAGTGGAAGGGGCAATAGCGCTATCAGTGACGCTTAGCGGGGGTGCGCTGTTTGCTAGTTGAGAACTAATCCAATTCCCGTCAAGTTTGATCGTCAAGGGCACTCCTCCTCCTCCTCCTCCTCCTCCTCCTCCTCCTCCTCCTCCTCCTCCTCTTCCGCGTCCGCCTCCGCCTCCTCCTCCTCAGCCTCCGCTCCTCGCCTCAGCCTCCGCCTCCGCCCCCTCCTCCCTCCTCCTCCTCCTCCTCCTCCTCCTCCTCCTCCTCCTCCTCCTCCTCCTCCTCCTCCTCCTCCAGTTGGGGCCGTTCTGTGACTTTGGGTCGACGGGCCTAAGTATTCGCTGCCCAATCTCGCTTGGGCTGGGAACGCCGCTTCGTCCCTTCTTGCGCGCTGTTCACTCTAGTGGCACGATGGCGGCAGGGGCGTGCGGATGTCCCTGCTGGGCTCCTGGGCCGCGAGAGCTCCCAGGTTCCACGGCCCCCTCTCCATGTCCCAGTGCGCCCCTGACCTCGCCCCTCGCCCGCGCACGTGCCTCGGGCCACGATGCGCTGACCCCTTCTCTTCCGGGCCCCCCTTTCTCGGCGCACCCGAGAGAGGAGGCAAGCCCCGACCCAGCAGCCCCAGGGGAGCGTCGTCGAGCGCTGCCACGGCCAGCTCTGGTCGCGCTGCGCATTCGGGGGACGCCATCTGCTGTCAAAGCTGGTGTTTTTTTCTGCCCGTGCCCGGCGCGAATTCGATGCCGATTCGACGCGGATTCGGCATGGATTCGTCTCGGATTCGATTCGGATCGACGCGGAATCGAACTGCCCGGCGTGGATCCGACACGCGGTTTCGACGGGGAGACTGGCGCGACGGGACAGACCAGCGAATCCGGGATACGTGCTCCCGAGAGCATGGTCTCGGAAGGCAGGGCCTTTGGCGATCGAGGACTCAGCTTCTTGACGCATCTAGAACTGCTTGAGGCACCCGGGGGCCTCTGGTGACGGACCTGGACCTCCCTGGGGAATTCCAAAGAGCGGCGCAGAGCTCTGCCGGATCTTCTTCCCACTTCCTCCTTGGGAGGGGGGGGCACCGAAGACGGGACAAATTACAGCCAACGGGTGGAACGGGTTCCAACCATTTCCAGCCAATTCTCATCGATAAAATACCACTCCCAAGCGCCTCGAGCGGTCTTGGAGGTATTCTCGCAGGATCATTGGGAGATCTTCGTAGAATCCCTAAGGTATCCTTGCAGGATCCCCGAGATTATTCCAGGATCCTGGGAGATCCTTTCAGGATCCTTTTTAGATCCTTACAGGATCCCTGGGGCATCCTTGGAGTATCCTTGCAGGGTCCCCGGGAGATCCCTACAGGGTTCGTGCGCTATTATTGCGCGATCCTTGAGGCTTCCGTGCAGGATGTGTCAGACATCCTTGAAGGATACTTGAAGTGTCCTTGCAGGATCCCTGGGGCATACTTGCAGGATCGCCGAGGCATCCTCGCAGGATCCCTGAGGCCTTCATGCAGGATTCCTGAGATAGCAGTACCCCCTGAAGTATCCTGGCAGGTTCCTTTTGGTGACCTAATTACAGGGTCCGCCTTGAATAAGGAACACTTACTTTTCGAAAGGAGCTCGGTTGTTCCTTTGGTTTGCACGCGTTCAGCTGCCTTTTTGGCGGCGAGCCCCCCTTGGTGTTCCTCCGAGCTTCGTAGACTTACTTGGACAATAAGGGGCTTCGTTCCTTTTTCATCGTTCCTTAGGTCAGGCTGAATTCTGTATTCAGGATCCCTGCCGGATCCTTGCAAGATCCGTGAGGATCTTTGATCGGGGGCCCCTAATCGGGATGGTGGCCACACCGTGTGGTGAGTCGGTGGGGATTCGGGATCACCGCGTGGTTTTGGGATTCGGGTCCCTCTTCGTGGTCGTCTCGGGCGACAGAGGCCTCCAGGGTCTCAAGACCGTGCGTTGACGGACCGTGCGGTGAGGTCTTGGGGGATTTCGAGGTCACCGCACGGTCTGTCACCGCACCGCTTCGGGACTCCAACCCTGAGGTATCCCACAGGACCCTTGAGCGATCCCACCAGCATCTTTGGGAGATTCCATACGGATCCTTGAGAGATGCCATGAGGATCCTGGAGAGACCTTGTGCGGATCCCTGAGAGATCCTTGCAAGATCTTTGACCGAGTCCATATGGGTCCCTGAGAGATCCCACATGGACCCTGGAGAGATGCCATAAGGATCGAGATCCCGTGAGGATCTTTGAGAGATCATGCGAGGATCCCTGGGAGATCCCGTGAGAATCCCAAAAAGAAACCGTGAGGATCCTTGCAAGATCCTTTACAGGGTCCGTGAGCGATTCCGCAAGGACCCCCGAGAGATTCTTCCAGGATCCCTGACGCCTGTACGGATTCCTGAAAGATCCCCATAAAGGATCCTTCAAGATCCTTGAGAGATCCCGTCAGAATTTCTGAGATCCTCACAGGATTCTTAGGACATCCTTGGCGGTCCCTGGGGGATCCCGCGAGGATCCCTGCGGGACCCTTACAGGATCCCCGGCAGATCCCATTATGAACCTTAGGGAATCTTTCCAAGACCCCTGAGCATGAGATATATGTTCAGGATCCCTGGGAGATCTCTAGGGGATCCCGATCTGCGTTCGACCCGTTTCCACGGGGGGTCCAGGTTAGTCTTCTTTTGGGAGCCTTCCCAGCGTTTCTTTCCTTCATCTCCATCAGGGAACCGTTTTGTCATGTTGTCCTCAAGCATGACAACGTCCGCTTTTCCATGGAAGCTATACATATCCGTCGTTCGAACCGTAGAACTACACATGGAGATAAGCATATAGCGAAGGCCTTACGGCCTGTGCCGCCGACCCAGGAGGCCACGAATATGGAAACGCGGGGGGGGGGTGGAGGAGGAGGTGGAGAGGGAGGAAGGGTGGAGGAGGCAGTTGAGGGAGCAGGCGGGGGAGAATGATGAGGAGGAGGAGCATGAGGAGGAGGAGGAGGAGGAGGAGGAGCAGGAGGAGGAGGAAGAGGAGCAGGCACAGGAGGGACGCCCCCCCCACCCCCGGCGGTGAAGGGATACAGGGAGTTCTCGGGGGGGCCTCTTGGGGGCAGTTCTGGGGCCTCTTGGGAGGCTGTTGGGGGCCGCTTGGGAGCCTCGTGGGGGCCTCTTGGAGCTTCCTGGGGGTCTCTTGGGAGCCTCTTGGGGCTTCGCGGGGAGCTTCTTAGGGGCCTATGGGGGCCTCCTGGGAGCTTCTGAGGCCGAGGGTTCGAAATGTCCGGTCGAGTCTCCAGACTGGGCTCTCTCTTGGAACCGTCTTGGGGACCTCTTGGGCTATCTTGGAGGCGTCTTGGGCGATATTGGGGCGGTATTGGGGGCCTCTTGGCCTATCTTGGAGCGTCGGGAAGCTGACAATAATCTTTCAAAACCTAGGGGATTCTATGATTTTTGCTTCTTGGGGCCCTCTTGGGAGTGCCCTTGGATTGGGAACTTCCGAAACAAAGCCCTCGAGGACATTCTTGGGGGCCTCTCGATGCACTTTAGCTACGTCTTGGGGATTGTCTGGGCCCCCGAACCGCCCAGAGGGGAGTCGTACCTGACCTGGGACCCCCCCCGGGACCCCCCCCGGGACCCCCCCCGGGACCTCCCCCGGGACCTCCCCCGGGACACCCCCCGGGACTCCCCCCCGCCCCCCAGTTGGGAAGGGATCAAAGGGAAGGAAAGGGCTTCCCTTCGACTCAACTACAGCGCTGCTCAATGTCGCTGTGGCTGGCGCGCTCGAGGAGGAGGGCCCGGTGAAAGTGGAGGCAGCGGCGCCAGGCTCAGGGAAAGGGAGGGGACCGGCGACGGCGACAGCGACGACGACAACAGCGATCACGACGACGGCGAGGACGAGTCAAACGGAACAGCCTCTTCCACACGCCGACAGGGTCGGCCGATTCCCCAACCAGTGTTTGCACTTAGGGGTTCCTATTTCTGTTTTAAGGAACTGGGCTATCTGCCAGTCTGGCGGGTACGTTGACGCCGTCGCCGCCCCGTAGCCGCCTCGTCGCCGCCCGTCGTCTGGGCCTGTCTGTCGGTCTGGCGGCTATGTTGCCGCCGTCGCCGCCCTGTCGTCCCCTTGTCGCCGCCCGTCGTCTGGGCATGTCGACTCGGTTGCCGCCGTCGCCTTCTCGCCGCCGCCTCGTATAGATTCTCCTCTCCCAACAGGAACTAGGATCAACCCCACCCTGGGATGATCGCCCCCTTGGGGATGTGCAATCTGCATGCGAGTGTGCCCCATCGTTCGATCTAGATGTGAATCCGTACCATCCCAGCCCAGCTGGTCTCGACTCCCCACCCCACATCCCATGCCCAAAATACGATGTACGCGCACTTTGTGATCAAAAACCACCAGCTTTCAAACATCCAGCTACAGAAAATAGCACGGAGTGCGCTCGCGCCCGTTGCTGGGCGCGCGCATGCTGGAATCCTCCGAAAGCCATAGGTATTGCAAGGATTCCCATATCGAGCGCCGCGAAATACATATATGTGTATATATATATATACATATGCATGTATGTAACAGGGTTTGGGTGCATGCTTTTTCCAGAGCGTGCTTGCGCGCGCCACCTGCAAAGTGTTAAGACACCCGCCAGTTTCACACCATGTTCATCCCATGCGACCCAAAGGGCCTCTCGCCCGCGCATGTCGGAATGATTCGGACGCCCTTGCGACCGTGCTGGGGGAGGGTGGGGCGGCACGGTCCCACTCGCATCACATTATGCGGGCCACGCGCGCGTCAGCCGCGCGCGCATGTCAAAATCTATCCCAAACTTGCATCGCCGACGCGTGGGCGAGGTCGTCGTCATTGGCGCAATCAACATCG